AGAGTTAATTTTCTTCCTAGCAGCTGGTATAGTGCTGTGTTTTGGATTTAGGATGAGAATAAAGTTGATAACACACTGATGTTTTAGTTGTTGCCAAGCAGTCAAAGATTTTTCAGCTTCTCATACTGCCCCCCAGTGAGGAGGCTGGGAGTACCCAAGAAGCTGGGAGGGGACACAGCCAGAAAAGCTGAGCCAAAGTGATATTCCATACCATAAGATGTCATGCTCTGTATAGAGCTGGGGGGTGGGCCGGGAGGTGGGGGAGCTCAGGGTCTTGCTGAGCATCAGCTTCAGGTGGTGAGAAATTGTGCTGTTCATCACTTTTCTTGTTGCTGCTGTTGTTGTTGTTATTATTATTATTATCCTTTTCTGTCCTATTAAACTGCCTTTATCTCAACCCATGAGTTTTACTTTTTTTTTCTTTTCATTTTCTATTCTCTCCCCCATCCCACTGGGAGGAGGGGGAGTGAGCGAACAGCTGTGTGGTTGGTTGAGCTGCAAGCCAGTTTAAACCATGACACCTGGGAAGAGCAAACATAACTACACTGACAGAACTATGAAGTGTCCCATTGCTAGAATGATGGGGGGGAGGGACATACCATCATAAAAAATTGACATTGAAGATAATGGTGTGTCCAAGCAATGTTTAAGTTTAATGACTGAAGGAAAGGGCAATATCCTGTGGGTGTGGGGGCATGCTGAGGACTTTCTTCCCTATATAATTCAAGATTTACTATTCCAAATATTTGTGAGAACACCACGAGATTTCATTTGAAATAACATTGTAACAATATTGGTAGTTCATTTAAATTACAAAAGAATTATTAGAAACAGCTTTAGGTATTTTAGGATGTTGCAATTAACCTCTGGCATTATAAAGATCATGTGCTGCTGAGCATTTTCTGCTCCCTCACACTGTGTCAAGCTGCTACAGTTGTCGAGCACTCAGAGGGACAGGCAGCTCGCAGAGAAAAGAAGATGAAGATCAACAGCAGCAGGCGGGACAGAATCACCCACGCATCATTGCTATGCTTTTCCTACTGGAAAACATAAGCTTGACAATGAATTATGGAATAATCTGACAAGTGAATTTTACTGATATGCTGGGCAAATTTTAGGACGGTCAAGATGCCATGCTGATAATTGTATCTTAGCTAAATGGGACGAAGGTTTCTGGAGCTCTGGGCTCTTCATGAGCATTAAAGAATGTTTAAAAATAATCAAAGCATCTTTAAAATGTTAATTAGAACTAAATCAACAAAAATAGAGAAAATTGTTAGAATATACCCAGCTTCCTGTATTTCTCAAATCACTTCCAAAGCACTTATGGAAGTGATTGACTCCTGTAAAATGGAAATACATGTTTAAATTCAGTGATATAAACTACATCATGTAGGTCATAACCTACCTATATTATACTATACCATTATTACTACATGGATACTGATTTACATATGGAAAATGAAAAAAAGTTAAAATATTCTTTTTTAGGAATGATGACTCAGTAAGTTGAAATTAGTGTGACTCAGTAGA